GAGGCCGAGCACCCACCGCTCCTGTTGATCTTAGCAGGAGTGGAGGGCTCAGAAACCAGGCCCTCGGTGGCACCCAGGAATCATTGGCCACTTTGGAAAATGCCGGCCTCTGTCCTGTGCCTCGGTTTACCTACATGTGCAATGGGGAAACATGGCCAGATTCTCTAAAGAACTCAGTGTCCAGCAGCTCCCCTTGCTCTACCCCAGCCAGGGAGGCCCTTGTGCGGGTGAGGGGGTTACTCAGGAGGCCGGATGTACTTCCTTTAAATCCACTTTCACTGCTAGCAGCCTCAAGTGCCGCAGTCGGGCCCCAGATATGTGTCTGGCTGCTTCCCCATCCCGCTGGGGTAGGTCAGTCCAAACAGGGGGCCCAGGACAGCCCCAGGGAATGGATCCAGGCGTGGGGGCAGAAGGAGCGGGAGGAGACACCTGTGATCTGGGGCAGCTATAAAGTGGGAGACCCTGTGGGGGCTGGGCTCTTCCCCACTCACAGGGACATCACTCAAAGAAGAACCTGGGGATCCTTTCCCCCAGGCCTCTCCCCGGGGGATCCACTCCCCCGATCTCTCCTTGGGGTCTCGTCTAGGCAGCTCTTTTTTAAAGACCGTTTTTACCAAGAAGCACAATTGAAGCCTTTTTGTACTTGCAAAGAAATAAACGTCCTCAACGCCAGCACGGCTCAGGCCCTGCTTCTCACAGACTATTATCACAGCACAACCCCACGTGGTTGGATTTCATCCCAGCCCCGGTGCAGAGCCCTGCAAGAGGGGCAGGAAGCTGCCTTGCTCTGGGGCTACTTGGCTCCTCTACTGGCCAGGGCAGACTAATAATAGCTAGAGCCCTGCAGCGGGACTGGGATCCCGCAGGACCCACTGTCATCACAGCGGGAGCAGGTAAAATGTACTTTGTTGTGGGCGGAATTGGGTGGCAAAAAAACAGACTGTGGTAATTTGTGGGAAAACAAAATGCAAGTTTAGCTGCACCTGCTGTTTAAATTGAGCTTTTCAGTCACTTAGCTTGAGCCTCTTTTTAAAATTTCTTTCTATCAAAACCCTAGAGCGGTGAGCAGTTTTGCTGCTAAATGTTTTTCAGAAAGCAAGAGTAATCCTGACATATAAGTAACTTGAATGGTTTGTTTCAAATTTCTAAAATCGGTGCTTAAGCTGGTTAAAACATTCCAGGTTTTTAAACAACTTTTTAATAATGATTAAAAAAAATTCTGCATCTTTTAAGGCAAAATTGTGGTGCAATTTGTTTTGACCTTATATGTGATATACACAACAGCTGTTTGTCATAAATAGAATTTCAGCAATGTAAAGCAAGTTGTTGTTTTTTTTACAAAAAAAATAAAGGTTTTAATACTTAAATTTAAACAAGAGATAAAAAGAAATTTGATGTCTATGATAGGAGTTAAAGTATTTTTTTACATGGTTTAAGCATTTTTTAAAATTTTTTTAGTGGTAAAAATTGTCTGAATTCCATTTTATATATAAATTAACCGACTGTTGTGTTTTGTTAGTAGGCTGGGGGAGTCTCTCTCTTGCAGGATTTGCGGGACCTAACTTTTTTGTGGGCAGGAGTGGGATAAAAATGCAAGAAATAACGCGGGAGCGGGTGCAAGTGACCTGTGCTGGGGTGTGCACGGGCCAGAGCAACAGCAGGGTTGTTGTAGTCATGTTGGTCCCAGAATATATAAGAGACAAGGTGGGTGAAGCAATATCTTTTACTGGACCAACTTTTGTTGGTGGACGAGACGAGCTTTCGAGCTCCACAGAGCTCTTCTTCTGGTAAGTGTATATCTTCTGCAGCATCTTTGTAAATTGTCTTAGATAGGTTTTCTGGCGGGCAGCGAATCCCAATGGACAGCCGCCTTTCCCTGCCCAACCCTGCTCCTGGTGGAAGTCAGGACAGTCTGATGCGTTCCAACTGTGCCTCGGTTTCCCCATGGGTAGGACAGAGGGGTGACACGACTGCTTGCCCTCTGGGGGGTGCGGGAAGGATTAATTCATTCCCGTTTGTAAAGGGCTTTGAGATCTGCAAGGGGGATGCAGTTGGATAATCTGTTAAATGAAATCTGGATGTGGAGGAGGTTCAAAGACCCTGCAGGGGGAGGCCTGGGTACCACGGGCTGGTTGCCTGGGCACCCCAGTGACATTTCCAGAGCAGCTGCAAGGGGGCACAGAACCAGTCTCCAGCTGCCGCAGCCTCTGCCCCATCCACTCCTCAGCCCCTGCTCTGCGGGGCGGCTCACTGCCCTTTGCCCGCCCTGTGTCCTCTCCACAGAGGTGGCCAAGGCAGGGGCCCGTGGGGTCCAACTCAGTGCCACCCCCAGGGCTGTGCCAGCCTGTGG